TGCCGTCCCGGTGCCGCGGGACCCCCCGACGGGGCGGGCACGGCCAATACCTCCCTGTACGGGCCCCAGGGTGCCCAAACCGGGATGGGAGCGGGGACCCCCATTACACACCGAACAGGACCCCCCTGTCCCAGCGGGACCCCCATGGTTCAAAGGCAGCTGAATCTGTTTTCCAGGGCCCCCGTGCTGCCTGCAGGGACACCCAGACCCGGCTGCCCTCGGGGTTGTCTTTATATACTCCCGATGGGTGCCAGAGCCCTTCCCTCCACTCGTGGCCTTCAGGGTTGTTTTCTCGCCTGCACGGTGCCGCGGGTGGCAGCGGAGGGGCGGGGCGCAGGGTGAGAGCCGTGGTGGCCGCAGTGTGAGCCTGGTTCTTCATCCCCAGGGAGAAGAAAAGAGGAAACCCCCGAGCACTGCCCTGTGACGGCGTGCGGGGCATGTGGGGGTGCAGGGCAGGGCACCCGCGCTGCGCAGTCCAGCTCGGAGGGGCCGGGGGGGGCTGTGGGCTTTGCTGTGTTTCTCTTGGCCCTGGTCTTCCCATGCCAAAGGTCCCCCCGGGTCCCCTTTCCAGCCCCTTGGTGCTCCAGCCTTTGCTCTGGCTCACTCAGAGCATCCCTGGATTTGGGATGGGGACAGCAGCAGCAGAGATTTGGGATGGGGACCTGCAGCTCCGCTGTGACACAGACCATCATGGGCAGCCACGGGCAGGCCCAGCCCCTGCTCTGGCTCAGGAGCAGCAGAGGAAACAGCCAGGGCAGTGAGGGCCTCGCCTGCACGAGGATTTGCATATGTAAACTTTTTAAGAGGAAAAATAAGTTGCCACTGTTAACCCAAACATCTGCCTGCCCACGCATGGGCCTCGGGGTGTAGTGCTGTCCCACAGTCCCCGCTGAGGGATGGTGGCCGGGGGACATTGGTCAGGGGACATCGGCTACGGGACAATGGCCGGGGGCCATCAGCTGGGGGACATGTGCCATGGGGCATTGGCCATAGGACAGTGGCCAAGAGCCAATGGCCCAGGGGCCCGCGG